AACTTGTTATGATCCATACAGTCAAAAACTTTTGCACAGTCACAAGTAAACATCTTTCTGGTATTTGCTTTCATCCAAGATCCATCTGACATTAGGAATAATATTGCTTGTTCCTTGTCCTCTTCTGAATCCAGCTTTGCATTTCTGGAAGTTCCCTGTCAATATATTGCTGTAATTGTTTTTTAATTATGTTAAGCAAAATTTTACTTGAGTATGATACTAATGATATTGTTTGATAATTTCCACATTTTGTTGGATCACCTTTCTTTGGAATGGGTACAAATATGGATCTCTTCCAGTCAGTTGGCCAGGTAGCTCTCTTTCAGATTACTTGGGATATACAAGTAAATGCCTCAAGCATGGCATCCACTTGTTGAAACATCTCAGTGGGTATTCTGTCAATTCCTGGAGCTTTGTTTTTGCCAGTTCCTTCTGTGCAGTTTCTTCCTTCAGTACCATTGGTTCTTGATCATATGCCATCTCCTGAAATAGTTGTACATCGACCAATTCTTTTTGACACACTGACTCCGTGTATTCCTTCCATCTTCCTTCAATACTTCTTGTGATACATCATTCAATAGTGTGCCCAATATTGCAACTCGAGGCTTGATTTTTTCTCCAGTTCTTTTAGCTTGAGAAACAAAGAGCATGTTCTTCCCTTTTGGTTTTCTAACTCCAGGTCTTTGCATTTTTCATTATGATAATTGACTTTTTCTTCTCGAGCTGCTCTTTGAGATTTGTGCAGCTCTTTGAGATTGTCATTTCTTCCATTTGTTTAGCTACTCTCCATTCAAGGGCAAGTTTCAGAGTCTCTTCTGACATCCAATTTAGTCTTTTCTTCCTTTACTGTTTTTTAATGACCATCTGCTTTCTTCATGTATGATGTTCTTGATGTCATCTCACAATTCATCTGGTTTTCAGTTATTGGTGTTCAGTGCATCAAATCTGTTCTTCAAATGGTCTCTAAATTCAGGTGGGATATAATTAAGGTCATATTTTGGCTCTCCTGGACTTGTTTAGATTGTCTTCAGCTTCCACTTGAACTTCTATATGAGCAATTGATGGTCTATTCCACAGTCAGCTCCTGGTCTTGTTTTGGCTGAAGATATGGAGCTTCTCCATCAACTCTTTCCATAGATGTAGTCTATCTGATTCCTTTGCATTCCAACTGATAAGGTCCATGTGTATAGCCATCATTTGTGTTGTTGAAAAAAGGTTTGCAATGAATAAGTCATTGCTCTTGCAAAATTCTATCATGTGATCTCCAGAGTAATTTCTATCACCAAAGCCATGTTTTCCAAACAGTGATATTTCTTCTGTTTCCAATTTTCACATCCCAGTCACCAATAATTATCAATACATCTTGATTGCATGTTTAGTCAATTTCAGAGTGCAGAAATTGGTAAAAATCTTGATCTTCTTCATCTTTGGCTTTACTGGTTGGTATGTAAATTTGAATAATAGTGGTATCAACTGTTCTTTCTTGTGGGCATATGGGTATTATCCTATCACAACATTGTACTTCAGGATAGACCTTGAAATATTCTTTGTGATGATGAACGCCCTGCCATTCCTCTTCAATTTGTCATTCCCAGCATAGCATACCATATGATTGTCTGATTCAAAATGGCAGTACTAGTCTATTTCAGCTCACTGATGACTAGGACATCAATCTTTATGTGATCCATTTCATATTTGACAACTTCCAGTTTTCCTAGATTCATACTTCATACATTCCACATTCCGATTATTAATGGATGTTTGCAGCTGTTTCTTCCCATTTTGAATCGTGCTCCATCAGCAAATGAAGGTCCCAAAAGCTTTACTTCAACCACATCATTAAGGTTAACTCTACTTTGAGGAGGCAGCTCTTCCCCTGTCATATTTTGAGTGCCTTTCAACCTGAGGAGCTCATCTTCCATCAGTGTATCAGACAATGTTTTAGAACTATTTATAAAGCTTTGCAGTAATATCTCAGACAGTGTTTAATTGCTATTCATAAGGTTTTCACTGGTCAATTCTTTGAGAAGTGGATGGCCCCTTCCTTTTTCTGAGTCTGTCTTAGTCTGGAAGCTCTGCTGAAGCCTGTCCACCATGGGTGACCCTGCTAGTATTTGAAATACCAGTTGCACAGCCTCCAGCCTCACATTAACATACAAACCACCATAGTATGACACACTGACAGATGAATGGTAGATCTCTAGTATAATAGTTTGTAAATATAGGGCAAAAGTTGCCACTTGACTGCTGGGTGGTGGTGGTTCCCCATATAGATAGTCCTTAAAAGAGCATAATGCCCAAGGCAGACATTTTTTTACTAGTTCAGCTAAACTATCATTTGGTTTTAAGGTGACTTCAGGGTATATTTTTGGTTTAAGGAAGAGCTGTATCTTGATGTAACCAAATAGTTAATGAGAGAAAGTTCTCTTTGTAAAGGAACTGAGGTTAATAATTTTAAAAAGTAATAGAACTAGAACATCGCCATTTCAAAACCCATGATAAATGAATCTAATAATGCAAAAATGTATAATTGTTAATGGCTGGTAAAACCATTTGATGAAAGACTGTTGGAGAACTTAAAATGGATGAATGAACACTGACCAAAGTGGCATGACAGGGAAAAAAAAAAAAAAACCAGCCAGACATTGTGTATCTCTTGATGGACCTAAAAACACATCTATGAAGTATTCTTGCCAAAAATATCAATTCTGATCAAGTCTTTAGATTTTACTACAAGATTGAAGGACATAGAACAGAAAAACTTGTTAAGGGACATCATAGAAGTACAATCAGCAAAACTAAAAATATGAGAAACTCTGCAGAAAAAAAAAAAAGGTTCCTTCAACAAATAATTACAATGGGAAAAAAAAGAAAAGAGGGAATCTATGGAATAAAAGAGAAATCAAGCAAATACAACATGTGAGGTTTGTTTGGACACTTACTCAAACAAATCAACTGTTTAAGGAAATTATTTTTAACATAATAGGAAAAAATTTCAAACTGATTGGGTATTTCATCTTCTTAAGACGTTATTGTTAAAAATGTTTAGGTGTGATAATGATACTGTGGTTAAGTCTGAAAAGTGACTGATTATTAGATGATAGTAAGGAATTATTGTTACTTTTTTTAGATATAATAATATATCATGATTACATTTTTAAAATGTTTATCTTTTAGAGATGTAAGAAGCTCTGGTGGTGCAGTGCCTAAGACATTAGACTGCTAACCAGAAGTTTGGCAGTTCAAACCCATCTACTGCTCTGTGGAAGGAAGATTAGGCAATCTATTTCCATAAAAATTTAATGCCTTGGAAACCCAATGGGTGGCACTATGAGTCAGAATCAACTTGATGGCAGTGAGTTTTTGAGTTTTTAGAGATATATAATTAATTACACCCACTCCTCTCTTATCGACATAGTTAGGTTCCAAAGACTAGGTCATTGTGTGAAAATTGGTGTCATATGAAAATGGAGATGATCACATCAGATCACAAAATGGAGGATGACTATATCATTGTATAAGGCCAAATTACATTGTGGTGGTTAAGTTTGTGTGTCAAATTGGCTGGGCCTGGTTGAGTGGCTGGGCAGCTGGTGGTAGTTATTCCTCATGATGAGACTGGCAATCAACTCCATGGTGGGACCTACCA